TCACGTATTTGCATGTTTTAGTTGTTTTAGTAAATTGTGTTTATTTGTGTGTGTGTTGCACGGAGTGTGATGAGTGCTCGATCTCCTAAAGCTTGATCCTCTGCCGTGTGTGCCCACCGCCGGTTAGTATTTTAACATTTTTAGTCTTCTCTCTTTGGGAGAAATATCCTATTTAGCTAGATCAGTATTTATAGAACAAATACCCTATTTTTCGGACTATAAGTCGCACTTTTTTTCATAGTTTGGGTGGTCCTGCGACTTATACTCTGGTGTGAATATATAATAACATTTTCACACTGACAGCCTTGAGAGGGCATTCTAGGCTTGTGTGTCAGTTTTCTTCGCATATCTCCTGCAGAGAAAGCCACTGTCCTGCTGCAAGTAATGAAATATGCAGTAGAAAATGGTAATCGAGCAGCAGAAAGAAAGTTTGGAGTGAGCGAGAAACTTGTGAGGGACTGACGGAAAGTGAGAATGAAGAACACAGCTTCACGGCAACTGGGAGGGTGCACCATGTAACTGTCCTGGAAGTCACTGGATGACAAAGCATGAACTTCAGTGACAACTGAAGTTGCACAGAGTTGCTCAGAAGTGACACCAAGGATGAAGAATTCAATGGATTCAATGGATTTAGTGATTTGGAGTGAGATGGAGAGTTTGGTAAATTTATGTTCTGTTGTTTATGCTATAGTTTATGAAGAACTGTTATTATGTTACATTAACATATTAACGCCTGTTCAGCCTGTTGTTCTTTATTCTATTGTTATTACTACAACTTGACTTTCAAGATAAAATATCGGTTCCTGATCCCTGATTTTATAAAATTAATTTCCCCCAAAAAGTGTGACTTATAGTTCTGTACGACTTACATATGTTTTTTTCTTCTTCATTACGCATTTTTTAGCTGGTTGAGTGTTGCTGAGCAAAGCCAAGTGTCTACTGGCTCAGCCCGTCCATCCTCTGGCTCCTGATTTTATCCTGATGCCTTCAGGGTGTCAGTTTTATGCTCCGATACGAAAAAAACAACCGGTTCTCTAATTCTTTTGTGCCCTGTGCTATTAAGTTGTTAAATTCTAAAGGTACAGTTTTATGAAAGTTTTACACTGTAATTTGTACTTTATTTTGAGTTCCACTGGTGGACTGCAATGGACTGACACACTTTGTGTTTGTTTGTGTTTGTGTGTGTGAGAAGTGAGAACTGCTCTGAGATGCTGCTAATGAATTGCCTTATGGGATAGATAAAGTTTTCTGAATCTGAATCTGAATTTATACTCTGGAGCGACTTATAGTTAAAAATACGGTAATAATAAATGATCTATTTTTCATAAACTGGTGGTTTATAAATAAATTATTCTCAAACTTTATATCTGTCTCTCTTTGCATCCTTTATACATCTAACCTATAAATTAAACCTAAGTCACGGATGCATATGGAAATAAGATAATTTATGTTTGTGTATTGTGTATATCAACAGACTAAACGTGGATTAGACATTAAACACAGAAAAATAAACAGTTTGAGCCACAACTAAGATTCTTATGCAGATTTTAATCCATTTTAATAGTTTTTTGCTTTTGCTTTTTTAACATACATTTCGACTTTGAGAAGAGGTTTAATTTTCATGCAGAAAAACGTCAAGTACTTTACTCCGAATAGCTCCATCAGATCCATGTTAGCGTCGTCACAGTTAGCAGAATATGGCTTTGTCTTTTAAAGTCTGTTTTCATTGTCCAGAAGGCGCAGCCACTAAAGAATCTGCCATCACACAAGGGGATAACTGGTTCAAATCTTACTCAAAGCACAAATGTGGGTTCTCGGGACACCAGAATAAAAAGTCCAACAATGTCTAACAAAGAATTTCCAACGTATGGGATGATGTCACTTTCGGATCCAACTGGAAACTTCACAGCTGATTCTCGCTTTGTTTTTGTTCCTTAGAGACAGTTACCTTTCAAAACGCAACCACAAAATTCACTGTCATTCTCCCAACATGTAAAGGTCACATTTGAAGTTTTATCCAATGCTTACAACAGAGTCAAAAATACTGTTCCCCATTTGTAGTGAAGTCCATTTTCAGCACGGAAATGCAAAAGAGACCTTTGAAAACTTGCAGGAGCACTTCAGTGGGTTTCAACAATGCATTTTTGTTCACTTCTGAGACAGCCTTACCAAACAGTATGAAAGTATCTAACCTCTTGTTATTCCTTTGCTCGGAATGTTCCACAGTATGGCGTTAAACAAATCTGTCTCCGTGGAGAAAAGCAGGTGACACCATTAGGTCACTGCATGTTTTTCAAGGTGTTTTTGTGCTATAAAAATGTGATAATACATGCCTCATAGTTGAATGCCATACTGTGGGACATTCCCGTTAAAGATCGCCATGGAGAAAAGCAGATGGCAAAGTCCCTACCAGAAAAGTGCACCTTTAAAGAGGAACTAAACACCTAAACTCTGCTAAACTGGGGAGTACCTGGAGGACAGGAAGGATTAGGGACAGTGATTGGTTAAAACAGAGATCGACTGTAAACGTCCTAAAGATTTTTCACATTTTTCATTGGTTTAGCGCTGACAAGTGGTGAATACACGCTGTTTTCAACACACGTGAGGAAATATAAAACACAAGAGGATTTTATGGTGATGCATTGATGACTCTTTTGTGATCGTTAAAAGACTACAATCTGTTTGGAGGTTCAGATCTGGTTTTACACATGTATGAGCGCTGTTATGTGGCAGATGTTTGTAATTGTCTGATATCGGGGCATTTGCTAAATGCTCTTTGGAAACGGTCTGCTGCGTAAAGGGGACAGCTGTTTGAGCTGTTTGACCCGAGCTGTTGTGATGGTACAGTTGTGGATCTGCTTTTGAGCTCTGTGGAGGAGAATAAACACAGGCTCTGGGTGCAATTGGTGATTTGCAGATGAAACAAGACAGAATAAAGCATATTTTTACTGTAAAAACTGCAATGAGTGTATGTGTGAGGATCTTTTTGAAATTTAATAGCTTCTTTATCAGGTAGTTAGTTACTTTCATCAATCAGTAACACAGTTATTAACACAGATACTTGGGGGGGGAAAGCAAAGAGTAATTATAGCTAATTACTTTTTTTGAAGGATCATGTCCAACACTGGGCGACAGTGAGGGGTTATCAGGAACAGTGTGATTGGTCTAACAGGTATCTACACTTCAAACACCGACCCTGCAGCCTGGTGTTTGTATCAGAAAAAACTGACTGTAATCAGAGCAGTTCTGTGTGATGTCACCAACAACTGGAAATTGCAGAGCCCGAAGACAGCACTCTCTTAGGCTGCGTTCAGACTGCAGCCTGAAGTGACCCAAATCCGATTTTTTGGCCTCTATGTGACCAGTATCTGATCTTTTAATGACAGTCTGAATGACACAGATCCGATTTTTTCAAATGTGACCCAGGACACTTGGATATGTGCTCCTAAAACCGATACATCTAATCTTTTGACATGCGACTTCAATCTGAAAGGTCAAAGCGCATTCATTCCCTACCCTAACCTACACGTTATCAACAAGACACAAACGTCACTATTCTGGGCTGAAGTAGGCGAAAATTGTTAATGAACTCCGTGTCACTGAAGCGAAGCACATCACCTCTTACCACTCTTGGCTACGTCTCCACATCCACACATTCCTTTCAACAGACGTCGCTGCCACTGCCCCACAAAACACCACGACCAAAAACCTCGTCCTTCACCTTCTCAATCTCCTCCTTAAAACAAGTAAGTTGTTCATGTTCTGGCTCCGGTACGAGAGGAACTTTAAAATCTCCAGGTGCTCAATGCTGCGTCCATGTTTGGACAACTTCCATAAACACAGAGCACGCTCACTGCGGTTGACGTCATCGTGTCTCCAGTGCACATGCGGGACACTTTCGGGCTGTTTAATGTTCACACTGGAGTCACATACAAGTCACATTTAATTGGAAATGTGAACGACCTCGCAAAAACATCGGATTTCACAAAAAAATCCGAATTGAGCGTTAAGCCCTGCAGTCTGAACGTAGCCTTAGATTTAGACCCCCAACTATATATATGACATACAATTGTGTTTTATATTAAATTGGCCTAGTGTCGTGTATAAACAGCTGCTCTGTTATTGTACATTTCAATACTAGGGGGGTGTTCCGTCGAAGTCGCTTAACAAGTCCAGGCTTATCCTGAAATCCTGAGTTGAATCTAGCTCCATCTCCAGTTTAAGCCTCAACTCGTTCCATGACAGAAATAAGCCTGAGTCTGACCAAAGCTAATTCAGGCCTGAAGTTTAAATTTGTGCTTGCAGTGACTCTGGAAAGACCAGAGAAATGGAGCAACAATGTCACAGAAAATGGGCCAAAAGTGTGACTTTTTAAAATGATCTGATTAAACGAGAGAGGAGCGACAGCAACACGGACAAGAGTTTGATTTGGGACACTGAACTTATCTGGTCATTCTGATCTGAGGAGCAAGAGGAAAGACATGACTCCCTCTCCTCTCCTGTTTTCTCGTCCTTCTCCCCCGGTCGCTCCGTGGGTAGAGAGGAGGCTGACTGCAGATTGCGGAGTGTGGTGCCTGGTTTATACACCTGGGGAATGAAGTTGCCTCACCTCTTCCCAATGCGTGGTAGTGTGTGTACTCTTCACATGTAGCCTAACAAGAAATGATAAAATCCGGGCCGACGTGTTTGCACTTTGACAGGGAGTGAGACACGAGGGAATGAAGAGAGAGAGACATACGTGATGAAAGAGCAAACAACCAGAACCCACTGAAAACCAATTCACTGTCATCCTTCAAAAAAGAAAAAAAAAAAGAAACAGTCTAATCAACCAAAGAGTTCGTGACCCCCCTGTTGAAGAGTTCTTCTTTAGGACACATTACAACACCAGTAAAAAAGTGAGTTAGTGTTTAGTTCTACTTTAAAGGTGCACTATGTCACTTTTGCGGTGGAGGGTCCTTTACTTGCTTCTCTCCAGTTCTTTGCTTAGAAAGTCTGGACTGTTACACAGCCTCCCCAGTGGCCCCGATGGAAAGCCTCAGAACTTTAGCTGATCCTGTGCTCTCCCTCGTCGTCTGTCTCCTGGAGAAGCACCAGGTCTTCAGAAGAACCTTACTCCGTGACTGAGTGTGCCCTGCACCACCACCACCACCACCACCTCCACAGCAGCAGCAGAAGCAGAGGGACGCAGAGGGGGCCGGGCTCTCCAGCACCGGACCGGCCGCAGGGAGGGGCAGGGCCTGGGCAGGGGCAGGGGCGGCGGCGGCGGTGACGGGGGGTACGGAGGTCTGAGGGCCCGTGCGGAGACAGCGCCCCCTCAGGACGTGCTGGAAGGCGCGGTTGAACTCCTTGCTGAAGCAGGGGTAGATGATGGGGTTGATGCAGCTGTTGAAGTAGCCCAGCCAGAAGGTGATCTTGAAGACGGTCTCAGAGGGCTTGCAGGAGGGGAAGATGGAGCCTACAGAAGCAAGGAGGAAAAGGTGTTAGAATATAGTTTAGGTATACTTAAAGGGGGACTATTCTGCTATACTGACTTTTTGGATCTTTCTACCATGTTATAATGTTCCATCATCAAAAAGAATGTGCAGGATAAATCATACATGGGCTTTAAGAAATACGTCTTTGAATAGGTTGAAATGGAACTAAACAACCCAAACTCATTAACCCTAAGCTTTCAAACTTGTATGTATATATATATATATATATATATATATATATATATATATATATATATATATATATATATATATATATATATATATATATATATATGGAGGGCTAGTTATTTTGGAAGAAATGGGCATTTTTTTAAAAAATAAAAGATTATTTAAAAGTATTATTTTAAAATATATATATATATATATATATATATATATATATATATATATATATATATATATATATATATATATATATATATATATATATATATATATATAATATATATATATATATATATATATATATATATATATATATATACATATATATATACATACATACATACATACATACATACATGAGGAGTGTAACAGGTCTGACAGGTATCCACAGTTTAAAGTGCCTATGACAGGTCAAACTCATTTTACAAAAACACAGTTAAATCTTTACATGTAAGATTTCTGCAAAAACAACCACATATTGCCACAATTTGGCCATTATTCAGTTATGGGGAAGTCTATAACTGTTACCTAAAACTCCTTTATTGTCTGACAAATATAAATATAAGAAAACACCTTTATTTTGTTGAAATCATGTTTAAAGTTAAGCTCCTCCTATAGCCATATCTGTTTAGATCCATGTATGTGTGTGTGTATGTGTGTGTGCAAGCATCCATATCCAGACCCCCTGCTGTGATGCTGTGATTGGTGGATTCCATTTAAGATGGCACCTGGATCCCCTCCTGCTGATTGGTGGAAACCGTAACACCCCCAGCCCCCTTTAAACGGACCCACCCCCTGCCACTCAGGGCAGCTGTTCTGTCTGTGGACTTGCCTCCCACCTTTGTGTCTCTCGGTGTATTTTGTTGGAGACACTAGAGTCCTTGTGACTTAGAGACTGGTTTTGTTTTTGAGTTGTCATTTTGTATACGTTGTTTGTTTTAGCCTACTTTAGTTTTGCTACTCTGTTTAGAGGGTCTTTTTTTACTAATTATTGGAAATATCATCTTTTGTTAACGTTACCTTAACAATTCTTTTAAATAAATCACAACTTTAGTTTTACCATTTTTTAAAATCTTGTTCATTTTGTTACTTCCCCCTGTCCCTAGCAGAGCTGGGTCAGAGTGTAATACCTTATCCCACCTCAGTAAATTGGTATTGATTGATTAATAGGATTGCATTAGGTAAGTCTTCCAATTGGTTTGTTTTTTGAAATTTTGTATCGGTGTTGGTAATTGGGTGGTGGAAGTTTGCCAGTGTTGCCTGTAGCTGTTTTGAAGGCTGCTGTATGTGCGAAATTGTGCCTTATGCTGAGTTACAGCAGATGAGGTTGGTAGACGGCCTGACCGGACAGACTTCCTCGTCCTATGTTCCTCTTGCCTCTCACATTCCCCAGCTCCAGAGATGGGAATCTGTACTCTGCGTACCTAGCCAGTCTCAATGGAGGCTGAGGGTAAGGGAGAGGTGGCACTACTTTGATTTGCCTTCCATCTCCCAATCCGTTATAGTTTAGTTCTGTGTTGTGCCTTTTTTAATTTGGCCACTTGATTCTGTTTGTAGGTTTATGTGGTTTTCTTTGGGGCACTTGTGTTTTAGTTTAGTCAGTGTGTGTGTCCATTTGTTAACCACTTGTTTTGTATAAGCCTGCCTGACCTCCTTTTGTGGCACAAAACTCAGTTTATTCTGTTGTTCTGTTTCTTAGTTTAGGTTATTTTCTGTATAGTTTAGTCTGTTTTGTTAATTTACCTTTTATACCCCTGTTAATTAAACATCATTTAATTTATTCCATTTTACATCTTGGTTTTATTTTTGTTACTTCCCTGTCCCAAGCAGAGCTGGATCATAACAAAAGTATTAGAAAAAATGTGTTGCTTCTGTGAAAACTGTGTCAAACTTTTGGATAGAATTCTCTGTAGAGTGATCTTATTGGGGTTTAAGGGTGCGTTCGAATTATCCGTCCGACTTGGAGGTTGGAGGACGTTGCCTAGCGACACACACTGACTTGACCCTTTTCCTCGGACGGTGGAACTTGGAATAACTCGGAGGAGACCAAGCATGGATTCTGAGATGGTTCATACCACAAGTCTTGGACTCTATTTTCATTGTGTTTGGAGCTTTGGTGGTTTAAATGACAATTTCAGTCACTCGTATTACTGCAGTACAATACTGCCTCCGTATGAGTGCCTATGGGTATGGTAGTATTACTGCAGTACCTTACTGTGTCTGTATCAGTGCCTGTGGAGATGGCGGTCGGTGTTGTGGCGAGGCCAATATTGAACACAGACTTGTTTTAAACGGGTGTTGCTAAATGTCCTTAGAGTTGCTAACAGAAGATAAACAACAACACTTTTCCAGTTGGTGTCCATGTATTTCTCTAAGTCGGACACATGACGTCATATCCAAGATCCAAGTGGGAGATGGATGGATAATTGAACGCACCTTTAGAACTTTCTACTTCTGCAGTTTTCATATATAATAATATTTTTCCACTTTTCTTTGCAAATTGCTTCTTGATTTGTTTAAAAGTATTATTTATATTTACAATAGTTAAAACCACCAAATTAAATAAAAATTTGAGAATAATACAAATCTGTCATATGCACTTTACACTCCGCTCCTGCAGTCAGGTGTTTGTATCAGAAACATCTGAAACTGTCTGGAGTCAATCGCTGGTAGTAGCTGCTGTGGCTCATGGAGGAAACACACTTATGTTTTTGAGCAGAAAGCTGCAAATGGACCTAGTTTACATTAAAAACTGCCAAAAATAATCACTTGAAACAATAGATAATGCTGTAAAAACACCATACATACAGTTAAGGATTTAGTGTTAATGTAACAATAAGGGAACACTGTTATAATGTGTAAAAGATCATGAAAGTCAGTTTTGCACGGTATGTCCCCTTTAATGAGACCAGCGTGTCTGCTCTGACCTCTGCTTTTATCGTAGTGAAGAAAAAATGAGCAAAAAAAAGACATTTTAAATCAAAAATCCGGTTTTATCTCTGAGATCGCTGGCGTGAAAAGCACACAGCGAAGCATTTATAAGCAGCTCCATTAACTGTCTTGGAAGTGTATATCTCTGTCTGAATGGGGACAACCTTGCAGAATCCTCTGAGTGAACCACAGGGGTGTACAGTATATCTCTCTGGCACATGCTGGTGTCAGTGCTTCGTAAGCACGTGTACCTTCTCACCCCCATAAGACACCCCAGGACCTCCACATCAGCTCACAAAGAAAAATCCAATCATTCCTCAACCTTTTTCAAAATTGGAGTTGTGAGTGTTCATTTTCCTGGATAATGCCGTAAGCTTATAAGGTGGAACCAAACATTTTAGGATGTAGGGAAGCAGTCGGCCTGGTGACCTCCAGGTACTGTCCAGGTTCTGGTCAGAGAGACTGTGTAGCCATTTGTGTCTCAATGCTAACTTTTATTAAAATGTTACATCTAACATAACACAATTTAATTTGTAGTAAGACTGCCCAATTACTGTATTTTCCACACTATTAGGGCAGTCTGGATTATAAGGCACGCACTGTCATAGACCTGAATGTGATAAGTCCCATTGTGGCGTGTAACTGTCTGTGGAAAATTTTTAACTACGTTTTAAAATTGTACATATATAGGTTGAATATAAGCCGCAGGTGTCCACGTCTTCAAGAATGTTTTCAAGTTTGGGTCGTCTGCTTTTATCGCCTCAAAGTTTTTGTTGTCTTTTTGCATTGAGTCAGTTCGTCACGCTGCCATCACCAAAACTCACCATTGACTCACTGATGTCAAGCTCACGTGCAGGAGCTCTGTTTCCTTCTTCTGCAGCCACATCAATGAAGTGCAAAATAACTGTTCAAAACACAATCAAATGAGCAACTTCCTCAGCGCTTCACCCCCGTCTCTCCCTGCGCATGTCTCCTGCAGAAAGAACCTCTGTCCTGTCTGTATCATGTCAGTGTCTTGTAGATTTCAGCAGATTTCAAACTCTCTCGGGGGCGGGGCTAGTTCTGTCAATCAGGTATGAGTGGATGTGCGGCTACTGAAGTTTGAGACGTTTCTTCTTGTCATTTATGCATACAGGCAAGACATATCCCCCTCACTGAAGTTAATTTAGCTTCATAACTTATTTTATCACATGACAGTAAACTGTTTAGTGCTCTGACAATATCATGAGCTAGTGCAGCAACTTCATGTTAACCCTAGATCCATGTGTAACTGCACAGACAGCGGCGTTTTCGGCACTCAGGCTGCGCATATCCACCGTGTTGCCAAATCATAGACCTTATAAGAATGGACAATGTGCCAAACAAAGAATCTGTCCATATATTAGCAGCAGGGTTGAAAGTGTGAAAAAAAGGTAGCAGCTTATAGGCGAGTTTCAGCTGACGTCATTGTTATTAAAAGCCCGCGTTGCATGCTGGGAAATATTTTGGTCGGAGGCAAGAAACAGGATAGCGGTCAAACACAGTGCGTAACCTCGTGTATTTATCCCCGATAATGGTAAATTCCTGCTGCATTATCGGATGCACAAATAGAAGCACGGAAGAAGGAAAATGTCTTTTTCGTATTCTGAGTGAAAAGAACCACTAACGGTGAATTAAACGGCTTTCAAACATTCACAGAGCAAACGTAGAAGATCCTAGCAAACCGTGGACTCCAACAAGTTCAACAACACATCGAGACTCTTGGAGGTTTTCATCTTTTCTGCTGTGAATGGCCCAGGAGTTTCCACCAAGTCATTGTGGATATCGCCCAAGTGAATATTTGTCAAGGTAGTTGGCGATTCCGACCAGAAATTTGGTTTGGTCC